TTGCACATTTGGGGCATTCCTGGGCCTGCTGCAGACTGCATGGCATAGACAAGAGCCTTGGATGACTAGACAGGGATGGCCAGATCGGCACCATGAATGACGAATGCTGACTTCTAGGCATACACTGATGATAACTTTACCATGCACCAAAGCCTGGACCCTGCTGAATAGGCCTAGCATAGCTGTGTGTAATGGAAAGCCAAATTCAAGGTGAAAGTATTCTGGAGTCTCCTTTCTACAAAATTCCATTGCAGATGCCAGTCACTCAGACCCAAAATCACCACTAAATTCTCTCATTTCCGCCCCCTGCCTAGAATATGCTGTCAAGTTTATATGTATTTGTCTTGTAAAAAGTCAACCCAAATGTTTGATTTGTCATGAAAGGCCATGTTTAGAAGCTGAAACAGTCGGCTATTGAGTATTGTCAAGGGTTATAGGTGGCTCTTCAATTCAATATTCACCGCCAGCACATGTTACCAGTAACACGTACCAGGTTGCTACTATTTTGCTTATCTCCTAAAAAGCTTCACCTACTGATTCCTGTGTATTATGCTGATATTAAAACCAACGTCCAGACAAGTTTGAAACCCCTTCTACCTAGCATATACAATACATGTACCCTGCAACTCTTTGCAAGCCAATTAAAAATCCAAGAGTTGTATTAACAGAGAAATACAGTATAATCCAGTGAATGCAGATTTTACCCTGATTTTTCATTGTTACAACAACCCTGTAAGGTTTTTTTATTATAGCCTGGGAGGTAATAACTAGCCAGCAGTCTCCCAGGAAGCTTTGCGTCTGAGTAGAGATTTTGCACTCGGCTCTCTGTAGTTGAATGTCACTACTCTAGCTGCTACATCATTATTCTTACACACTTGTAAAAAAATATTGTCCTTGTTTTCTAGTGAGGGGTTTCTCTGCAGACGATCATGGCATAGAACTGATCAGCAAGACAAGAGCTAAGCAAATATATGAGAGCTAGGAAGATGGATGACTCTTAGAATAGAGCAGCCTCCATCAACTCCAACCAACATACCCAATGCTGAACTACCAGCCCCCTTCATCCCTGACCATTAAACTTGCTGGCTGGGGCTGATGGGTGTCGTGCCAGAGTCCAACAAAAATTAAAATCTGGAGGATGAGAGGTACCCCATCCCTGCTCTAGGGCAGACCACCAGGAAACTAAGCTGAAGACCAAGGAAGTTTGATGAAGTACAGTGGTACCTTGGGTTACAAACACTTCAGGTTACAAACTCTGCTAACCCAGAAGTAGTACCTCGGGTTGAGAACTTTGCCCCAGGATGAGAACAGAAATCACGCGGCAGCGGGGCAACAGTGGGGCGGCGGCAGTGGAAGGCCCCATTAGCTAAAGTGGTACCTCAGGTTAAGAATGGTTTCAGGTTAAGAATGGACCTCCGGAACGAATTAAGTTAACCACTGATTAAGTTAACGAATTAAGGTACCACTGTATTGATTGGAAAATATGGTTATTCCTTCCATTGTTCTCTACTGTTTCCTCAAACTCCATTCTCCCTCCACCTAGTGAAGATTTGTTGGGTTCCTTCACTGACACACAACTTAGTTCTTTCTGCTTAGATTCTAGAACTGTCTGGAGGAAGCCATCTTGACTGAATGGAATAGAGGAAGAAGGGTGCAGTTTATCAACAAAGTGGGCCAACCAGAGGTTCAACCACAAGCTTATAACCTCCTGAGCCCAGAGCTCCAGCCAACATCCAAGATAAGTAGCATGTCCCCCTGACGGCTAGGGGCAAAGGAGCAGGCCAAGGTAACATGGAGGGCATTCTATTTCCTCTTTGTGTCATGTCCATGCCTTTCAATCCCAATACTTCTGATGAGAGGGGAAGTTCAACTAGTCCGTCCTTAGGAAGCTCATGAAAATGTCAACACACAAACACACACACACACACACACACACAAAGAGAGAAATGGGGCTACTTATGTACAAACCATGGCAGTTATGCCAGGAAGATTGGAAACTGCAAAAGAGAGATGTTTGTCCCTGTTGAAAAGACATGAGTTCAAGTCATTTCTCTGTTATAATTTTATTTGCTACCCAGTATAAAGGAGTGAATTTTTAGGGCAGTGATGCCCCCCCTGACTTATTTAATACATTATTATGCATGCTGTGGATAGATACCTAGAACTGATTCTTCTTACAGATCATGTGCATGTGCGTGTAAGAGAAAAAGACAGAGGAGAGAGAAGGGGTGGCATAGAAAGAGTGTGCGGACCATGCAATCCTGTAACCTCTTCCCACATTTGGTTCCTTCCCCACTACTGGCATACAGCCCCAGATAAATTGCCGCTCAGGGAATGTGGCTCTTGAAATTAAAAAAAATCCCTCACTCTCTGGTCCATTCCACACTGACAATGCTTTGGCATGCCATAAATACAGGCCTGGTTCATGAAGTATGTTAGAACTTCCATATCCTCCACTTCACCTCCAACACACAGCTTTGCTTTGCTTTATATTTATGCATCTTTCATGTTCTGCTTTTCAAACAAGACATATAGGGTTCCTTCACCCATTCAGCTGCAAGGGACACACATGATACAGGAACCAGTAAGTTACTGAGAGAAGAAAAAACTGATAAGAACAGACTATAGTTTTGTTTGACATTTCATTAGTCCCCTGACACTTATAATATTCTGAGTAAGAGGGGTGAGAGTTTAGTTTGAGACTAGCCTGACCAGGGCTGAACCCAGAACTATTTACCACGCCAAGATTTGGCCCTTGAACATATGAACTAAGAGTGCCTCAGAACATGTATAGAGTGTATCTCCATCACCAAAGAATTACAACAGACTGCCCACTCATAAACTGAAATTTTAAGGATTCTAGGAGTTTGAGCGCAGCTTTTGGTTTAGTTTAAATCCAGACCTTCCTTTTCCACAAATGACCATAGAAGAAACCACTTTTCTGATGCAGAACTGAGGCTCCTCTCCTGTGTTGTCATAGGGAATTACTTTTGACTAACTAGGCGTAGGGATTAGGCTATGAATGGCAAAAAGGTGTGGAGCAGAAGCAGTGCAGAGATTGGGCAATGAAGAATGCTATGGAATAACCACATCCCTGTGACAATAATTTTCTGATTGATTCCAATTTAACATACATAGTATAAATGAAGTACAGAAACACAAAGGCAGGTTGCCTACTTGTCAGGGCCAATGCTGGAAAGCTAGACTGGGGGAGTGAAGAAGTACAAAGGCCATTATGAAGGATTTTACCACACAAATTACAAACAAATATATGCTGGGGTTTGTAGGCAACATTTTGGGTGAGTGCCCAATACCCCTTCACTACTCCCCTGGAGACCTTCCTAATACAACGCTATAATGGAAATTAAGAAACTAAAACATTTTACAACTCTTTGAAGAAGGATCCCATTAATTCAAATTTTAAAAGAGCATAGAAGTAGTGGTCTTGACTTGAGTAGCCCATCTACCTAAAAATTCTCCTGAGAGACCAGAAGCTGACTGGAAGGAAAGGAATCCTAGAAGCTGAGAGGTAAGCAGAAAAGAGTGTTGAGACATCAGATCTCATGGCTTCCTGGAGAGAAAGATGGAGGGAGAGCTGACTTTGAAAGGAAGATCCCATCCATCACAATCTGCCACCCTTCGCTCCTTACCCTGTGTATTGTCATCCGTCCCCGTCCCCCCCATTACACACATGCCTATTGGCAGAGTCAGCAATTCCGCCAGGACACTCTAAGCAAAAACTGAAGATTTCAATCACTCCGTCAGCGTATCAGCTATGGGTGGGTGGGCAACAGATTTTATTCTACCTGGGCAGAGATGCTCTGCTGTCCTTCTAGCCTAAGCAGGCTGGCAAGGATCCTGCTAGCTGTAGCCTAGTCTCTCTCTCTCTCTTTCTCTGTCTTTCCTCCAATCTCAACCCCCCCCAACATTTTCACAGAAATGGGGAGAAGAATCTGGCCAAGTCCAAGCCCCCCTGCCGATGCCGCAGAATGCATGAAGAGGGTGGCTGGGTGGCGTTCAGCCAGGAGAGGCTCTGCCTGGTATAGAAAGGGGGGAAGCATGCCTGGCTCTCCCTAGGAAAGGCAAAGAGGCTGTCTGTCACCCCCTCTCACCCCCCTCCCATCCCTCCGTGGTGTCCCCTTCACACCAAAGCAGCTACTAGAGATTCAGCGGGTGTTTCTCCTCTTTTCATCCCCTCCCTCTTTCTGAAATTGGTGGCATGTTAAATTCCGTTAGGGGTTGTCGCTGATTATTTAAAAGGAAAGAGTTCTAATCCAAGATTTGGAAGCGCTTAAAAAAACCCCACAACATTTTTCTTAAATGGCTCTACACGTTGCAATGATCTTTATGCATTAGAGATTTGAGGGGTGTGAATCGGCTGGAGACTTTCAGGGAATCAACCCAGATACCTCTCCGGGAGGCATTTGAGGGAATTACAAAACCAAACCAAACCACCCAGCGTTTTCTCATCTCTGAAAAACGGACATGTGCACCTTTCAGGAGCTCTGCCACCCCTCTTTTCAGCGCTACACCCCTTTTTACGAAATTTCTCCCCACCCACCCGGGAAAAAAAAATCTCCTCTTCCCAACCCCATCTTCTGCCTCTTTCCAACCCTTCGCTCGCCAAGCCCGGCAGCATCCTTCTCCTCCATCTGCAGCCCCCGTGTGTGCGTGTGGCAGTCGGTCCAGGGAAGACACCCCGGCGAGCCTCTCTCGCTCCCCACCCCTTTCTGCATCACTGGAGAGAAACAACATCCCCCCCCCGCCGGCACCCAACACACCCGGAGGCGCGCACCTCTGAAGGCGCCGCCAGCCCCCCCCCCGCTCGCCCCCTGTCGCCCTCCGCCCGCGCGGAGCTCCCTCTCCCCTCGCCAGGCTCCTGCTGGAGCTCTCGCCATTCCCCCCTGCATGCATCTGGGTCCCTCCAAAAGCAGACATTTTGGGGCCGGGGCTCCGTGCGCGGCCGAGATTGCCAAAGGGAAAGCGCTTCGGCGTCTTACCCGCCCCCGCCTGGCTGCGCGCGCTCCGCCCTGAGCGATCCCGGCGAAAAAGGCTGGCGCCGCTGGTCCCTAGCGGAGCTGCTGGGCTGCCATCCGCCCAACTTCAGCACCCAGCCGGCAGGGAGAGAGAGAGGAAGGGAGGGAGGGAGGAGGGAGGGAAAGGGGGGAAGGAGAGAGAGGGAGCAAAGCAAGGGAAGAAGGAGGAGCAGGGTGGAGAGCCCAGACCTCAGTCTGCGCACGCGCCTTGCCGCCAGCGCTGGCCCCGGCAGAGCAGCTGGAGTTTCCCCGCTTCTCCCGAGCGTGACTCACTCCTCGCTGCCCCCTCCCCCGCACACACGCCGCCGCCGCCGCCCACGGCCCCCCCCACGCGCCGCCTCCCCCCTCCCCGGGGAGATTCCGAGGAGGTGGGGGAGGAGGCTGTCTGGCGAGCGGGGGAGGAGGGAGGGGGAGTTGCCCAGACGAGGCCCCCCCCTACACCCCCCCCACCCTTGGGCTGAGTTTTCCGGAGGAGAGAAGGCGGCACGTTGAAAAGATCCCCGCGAGCAGGCCAGCGGGCCACGTGTTTGTGCGGGGCGCGCGCGCGTCCAGGTGAGCGCCCGGGCGAGGTGGCGGGAGCGCGGAGCCGCTCCAGATTTATTTGCTCATTTATTTGTTTCATATCGGAGAGAGGAAACGGCTAAGTTTCGGCCAAGCAAGAGAGAAGAGCTGCCTTTTTTCCGGTGGGGAGGTTGGCAACCGAGCTAGATTCGGACTTGGGCGTCCGAGCGCAGCGGGCGGCCGTGTCGGGAAGCGGAGCTGCCTCCGGAGCCCGGACGACGTTGAGAAGTCCGGCAGCTTATACTGCTGGGATGGATCCGGGGAATAAAAGAGCAGAGCCCCCCGCCGCCGACACGACATCAGTGGCAGCCTTTGACTGAATGCTGTACGGTCCACCTAGTCCAGTGGGTCCCAAAGCTTTTCGGGCCACCCTTAGTTGCATCAACTTATCCCCAGTTCTCCCTACCCTATCAAAAAGCATTGTACACTAAGGAAAATAACAACACAATAGAATTCCAAACAGTTACAATTAATTGCACATTTATTTGAAATTCAGTTTAAACTATTTAATTTAATCGATTCGACACTGCTTGATACAGTGGTACCAGTTGCAGATGTGTGCGATGTCCATATGCTACATATCAGCTGTAGGAAATCCAAATATAACCATGATGTTTCACACAGTCAAAATCTGTGAAGCTGCCTCTGGCAAGTCAACCAGAAAATGGATATGCTGTTATTTTTTTACCTGATGTTACAGATGATGAGGAGGTGGTGGTGAGAGGCCTGCGGATATTCATTGTAGCAACCCCAGAAGGAAAAGAAAATATTGTGACTGATCTTCTGTGCACTTTCCAAAACACGGAAACTGCTCCGACCCAGTTGCACATTGGCTGCATATGGAGAAGCACTGAGTTACATTCTTGTCCCTTCTCAAGAACTGCTATTCAATATATACAGGGGGGTGTTTCAGCAAGCTGAGATTAATTTCCAGGGCTAATCAAGTGACAATTTTGTTAGGGAGAAAAACATTCTGGAAGAGTTCTGCATTTAGTGCAATGTAATGTTAAAGAGGGCTGGTCAATGGCTTTAAAAAATGAATCTAGATTCACATTCCTCCAACAAACCTTGGTATAGTTCAGTTTCATTTTCACATTGTGTGAGCAGGCATTTTCTGAAGTGGTTATGAAAGAGAGCGGGGGCTTTGATAATGGCTGTATTCTAGCCAGAGTAGCACCTAGCATTTGAGAGAAGGATGGGCCATTCTGTGGCTCATCTATAACGTAGGGCTCAATAATGGTAGCTAACACCAGTGCAACATAATCTTCATCCTTTGCCACAAGGTCAAAACTGCAAAAGTAGAAGAAACTCAAGTCAACATAGCAACACTGATAGACATGCCCACAGCATTCCTGGAAGTTATTGTCACCAATCATGATTTTGCACACTGACACTGCGCTCACAGTACCCATGCATCAATCAATGCGCAGCAGTGGCTGAACAACACCATGCAGTCGCCCAGCTCTATACTCCATGCACAATTTACAACCCAGTAATGATAGCACTACACCACCTGTCCAAATCACACTGGTACTGCAAGTACAGGCTCAGCATGGAGAGCCCAGGAGAAGAGCTTGAGGCCCCAACTGTACTGAAAAGTTCATGAATATTATAGAATGGTAGAAGTTTGCTGTTCAGAGCTCTGCTTCTCTTCATGAGTGCTCAGCTCACTTCCAGCTCCAGCCTCTTCACAGAAAAGCTCTGTTCCTAAGGCACTGCAAGCAAGACTGTGCAGTTGGTTGCTGGGTTGCAGAAAATGAGATGCACACACCCCTTGTGCTTCCTTTTCCATTGGCTACAATACCATTCCTTTTTTCCTGGTGGGGCAGGGTGTGCTTCCTTCAATGAGAAAACCGTATCTTTCCACTGTGTTTTTTCAGACAAGGGGATTTCCAGACATCACTGTGACATGATCTGACAGGGGACATATCTTGTGTATAATGTATATTGAAGGTGCCAGCCAAACCTCCCTGGGGAGAGCATTCCAGAACTACAGAAAAGGCCTATTTGTGTATTACCAGCCTCTGGACCTCTCAAGGAGGCACACAAAGAAGGGCCTGTGATGAGGTGGGCTGCTCAGTGGTATCGTTGTAGAGCCTGCAGTTTGAGCCTAGCATGGAGCTGTCCAGGGTGCCTTACTTGGCATCAACACTAGTCCCAGCCCTAGTGTTACTTTGCCTTGCTCTTCACCCGAACCTGAGCTCTCCCCCTGGGTCAGAGATTCCCTTCACTGCTGAAGCTGTTGTGTGAAACAGGACACTTGCTTCCAATGGCCTCCCTGCTTTATAGTGGGTGAGGTGGTAGAACCACTTCCAACACATGGATTTGTTTTTCTGTTGCTCCTTTTTCGGCCCTAAACATGGGCGTGTTTCTACACTATGCAGGAGGAGTGGATAGATGTGGAATATAATATTGGTCCATTAATGGTTCGTACACAGAGAGGAAGGCTGGGAGTGGGGTATGGGTATGGTTCGTACATGTGGAATCAATGGTGCAGTTCAGTGGATCAAACCCAGGGGCTCAACAATATTGATAGGAATTATTTTACAATTTTTTAAATGAAAAAAATCTAGCTGTTGCTAGCTATCACTAGCACTCTCAATTGGACTGATATTGTAATGGAAATTTCCTGCATTTGTTGGTCCCCCAGGCACTACAAGCCATGCTAGTACATTCAGATACACTAGGCTAGTAGTAGTGTCTGTGGTGGGTGACTAGGAGATCAAGTCCTTCATGCTATTCCTGCAGAAATCAAGAGCAATCATGAACTCGTGGGTTCACATGTGTGCCTAAGATTATTTACAGAGGACCTCTTCAAAGTGCCCTCTTGAGTGGAATCCAGAGGGTGGTGATGAGAGACAGGGCCTTTTTGGTAGCAGCCCTGCTACAGTGCCATTCAAATAGGTTTCTCTCTCCCTGCCCCACAGTTTTAGTGCCTTTTAGTGTTTTATTAGTTTTCAGTGACACAGTGCTTGGGTTTAAAAGAGAACACTTTCCCTCAGTAGACAGTTTTGATACAGATCATTGGAGTTGACATTCTTGGTGTGAGGAAATCTCTTCTTATATACAGTTACATACAGGGTGGTGTTTTTTTTTAGTGATTGCTTGATGAGATGCATTTATGTATTTTAATTCTTGCATTTCTGATCCTTTTATAAGTCACCCAAAGGCTTCAGTGTACAGTAGGGGACACACACACAGATAGGACCCAATTTATTCAGTGTTGGCTGCAGTGTGCTTTAAAATCCTGCATGCTTTGGCACCTGTGCAATAATATCCAGATCACTGCACTCATGGGAAGTACATGCCACATAATGCTGCCCTCTTCTGTACACACAGTGCTTATACAAAGGGCCGCCAGACCTGCTGCGTTCTGCAAATAGATTGGGTTCTTTATTAATAAGCTGTCCTGTGCATGCTCTAATTATGACCCATTGTTCTATCCTAGTAATTTAGAAAGGGAGTGAAGCCTGAAACTTGGAGAAAGCCTTTGGAAGAGACAGGAAAGGCTGTTAATTAAATGCCTCTTATTTGTTATTTTTAAATAAACACCCTGATTGTTGAAGAAAAACCAAAAACAGCCATATAAAAATAAAAATCTATGTTGAGTACAGGTTGGCAAACTCTCAATTACAGATACTTCCTGGGCTGGAAATCCCAGCATCAGAATTTCCAAGGCATTTTTTAAAATGCCACTCAGGAAACAACAAAAATTATGTTTTCTGTCTGACGCCAAGGCGAAGATTCAACAGGGACTGTGATTTGGAATTGATATAGATTTTATTGTCTCAGCCAGAAAGCGATAGCAACCACAATTAAAAATGAACCACCACACAAAATTACAAGAAGAGTAAAATAAAATATGAACAGCATAATATAATGCAATATATTAAGCAATAATGTAATCATGGGCTAACAAATCTTGACACCAGATCCTTATGATCAACCATACATTTCTGCACATATATTTTTGTCGCATTCTGGCAGCACTTGCAGCAACGGCTTCCATCTTGTGCCTGAGGCTGGAGTCGGATCCACCTGGGAAATGATGGATTTTAGAAAACCCTGAATATCAAGTTGAGCTGCTCATCCCTGATTTAGAAGACAAAGGCTGAGGAAGTAATGATACATTTAGTTCTATGAGGCAGACTAGAGATTTCTTACAGAGCGTTGAACTGACACTGTTACACATGTCACATAATACCCATTCCACACTTGTAAGAAATGATGGCAGCTCCTACACTTTGGAATTCCCTGCCTGTTGACATCAGGCTGGCACCTTCACTGTAGTCTTGGTGCCTGCTTAAAACATTTTTGTTTAGGCAAGCCTACCCAAACATGTAATTTGTTTCTTTAGCTGCTGCTGCTGCTATCTTTAGCTCCTTCTGAATATTTTTAATTCCTGTTTTTAACTTTTTATCAATAGTTTTTCCTTGTTCTCTTTTATACAGCTGCAAACTGTGTAGAGGCTTTCCCCCTTTTAAAAACAATCAAGTGGTATATCCATTTTATTAAATAAAGTCTTGATTCCAATACACTATCCTTTAATGCTGTCTTTGTACCTCGGGGAGTGGGGTGAACTGGTAATAACATTATTGTGGTTCAGTCCTGTTATAACTGAAGATCAATAAAATGTAGTTAAAAAAACACAGTGACCTAAA